GCCTTCGATCCCGTTGCCTTCAAGAAGACCAAGCACATCTTGCGCGCCGCCGAGTTTCTTCGCGATCTCGTCAGCCGTGGCGTTATCTCTGTCGAACACCTCCCCGGCGTCGTGATGCTCGCCGACCTACTCACGAAGGCTGCCTCGCGGGCCATCTTTACTGGCCTGATCAAGCAGCTCGACGACTTTCATGCCCTTTGAATTTATTTGTCCCTCGCGCCCCGCACTCGGGCCAGGAGGGGCTGTTCCCGGGCATTCACACTATATTCCTCTGAGATAATATTATATTTCGCCGCCACCGCGGCGCGCGCGCTTTATCCGCGCGCTATATTAGTTGAGCCAAACTTGTGTTCTTGTTTTGGATCAAACTTGTTACAGCTCAGCGAACGCGATGCGGCCTCTGCCTAGCCTCCTGCTCCTATGCGCGAGCTACTGCGTGACCGCTATCGCGTAGTATGTAAGAGTGTGATGTGACTGGCCGACTACACGGTGAGCCATACGGACCTTGCAGTAAACTTTTTCCTTCTAAGCAGGGCTACACAATGACCCTATAGTGTGGGGGTGTTTCTGGCGAGTTGCGATGAGTAGGATTAGATTAGCCAATGTTGTTTTGAGTTCATATATGAAAATACCAACTTGCCTATGTGCACGTCTCCGCGGCGGTGGCCCGGAGGCGGCCCGGCGGAGCGGTCAGAGCAGCACTGCGCCGGCCGGCGATCGACCCTCGACTATAACACGGGCTCTATTGAACGGCCTCAAGGTGCTCTCTAGGGCTGCCCTATTCCGCTCGCCCGGCTACGTCGCCGGGCTTCGAAGGAAAAGGTTTCGCTCGGCACGGCGTCGGAGAGCAAACTTCGGCGTTCGTCCTATAGTGGAAGCTGGACGCACGTCGGCAAGTGGGCCCATGACAAGGCGGGCTGCTGCTCAGAATCTGGGCTCTCTTGGCGCTCGCTCTCGCGCTCTCCATAACCTCTTTGCCCCCTCCCTCCCGCGCCGACGTTGGGCAGCCCGACCACGACAACGTCAGCGCCGCCGGCCTGCAACTCGAGGCGCCGTTGAATGAGCACGAGAGCCGGTGTGCAACGGCGGCGCGGGCGATGTAGCCCAAGGTGGCGGCGGCGGCGGAGGGGGCGGCGGCGGAGGGGGCGGCGGCGACGGCGGCGATGGCCGCGGGGTCGGCCCGCCCGCCTTTGCTGCTGGTGCTGTGGGCATCATCACAGCTCAACCTGAAGTCAAGGTGCAGAAGCTTCATATGGCGCTGCGAACCGGTCTACCGGCCCCGCCCCTGATTGTGCTCTCTTCCTCGACTCGACCTTCCGCGACCTTCCTCGACTCTCGACCTGATGCTGAGTTTCCGCACCAGCGCAGCTCAGTGGCAGTGTGCGACCAGGGCCAGTGGTAGACAGTCACGACGTGCGTCAGGCTGCTCTCTCTGAGCGATGACACTAGCAGTAGCATTGTCAGTGTCATCGGAGTCACTTGTATTTACGACGCCGCCACGCTCGCAAGGGCTGCCTAAGCGCCTAAGCACCCTAAGCACCCCCCGCTTAGGCCGCTTAGGCGCTTAGGCGAGCGACGGCCGGCTGCCCGGGGCTGGCGTGCCTCTGCCGTGGGGTGAGCGCCTGGGAGAGCCACTCTGCAAGTGGTGTGCGAGTGTGTAGCCTTTAGCGTGCAGTCGGCCGACTTACTACCTCTGTCGTAAAAACGATACTCCGACACGTCTCTGTCGCGGATCGCCAAAAATTGGAAAAAATCCGACAACGCGCTCATGTACTGTAGTTCGACTGACAACTGGTGCAAAGATCAGTGAGATGCATAGATATGCGCTGTATATGGCTAACATCGACGGACAGCGACACGCGACTGGCGGGCGGTGGGCATCGCCTCGACGTACCGGGGGGCAACAGTGATTCGGGAGAGAGACGTCACAGGGGCAGCACTGGGACGCGAGCGCCGAGGGACAGCGGTCAGACATTCTCATGCACACGCTGGGGTGTGCTCCGCGTGTTGTACCGCGAGAGGAGGTTAGCAAGACGCGTGTCGAAGCGGCACGCCAGCCTCCCTACCTCGCCTCCTCGCCGCACTGGAAGAAGCAGGCCGTGTCGGGATTGTCGTAGCGGCTGTCGCCGATCGCGGGCAGCTCGACAGCGTCAAGGTACAAATTGAGAAAGTCGGTGGACGCCGCATACGCCTTGGCCGCGTCGGCCGCCTTGCCGCTGCTCACCGCCGCCTTGAGCTTCTCGACGCCGCCCATCATCTTCTTGTAGTCCTTGACGGCCGGGATCTTGTCGGGAGGGATCTTCGAGTCGATCTTGAAGGCCACCGCCAGCAGGTAGCCGGCCGACTTGAGCTCCTCCGCGGGCGCCTCCTCCGAGGAACTCCAAAAGGCCTTGCCAGCCTTCTTGATCGCCGCCGCGTCGCCAGAGGCGATCACCTTTCCCAGCTCCCGGTATGCGTTGAGCACCTGGGCGATCGGAAGCGCGCGCTATTCTCTCGCCGCGTGATGCATGTCGCGTGTGCGTGACGCGTGTGCGCACAGCGTTTTTAGGATTAGGGCCGGGCCACGATGTGATGCGGTGGTGAACGCCGCACCTGGCTCATGCGACCGTAGTACCGCACCTTGGCGCGCGGGATGGATGTGGTCTTGCCAGCCGTGGCTCCTCCCGACGCATAGGCCGGAGCTGGAACGCCAGGCATGGCGAGCGCAGCGGGCAGCAGCGCAAACAGCGCTCGCCGTGGCAGAGCGTTCGCACCGATTATCAGCGGCGCTGCCGAGGTACCGGCCGTCGGCGTGGTGCGCCAGCGCCGTGGCGCAGCACCAACTATCAGCGATGCTGCCGAGGCGACCGTGGGCGTGGTGCACCACGCCAGCTGGGCGAGCAGCGGGCAGCTCATCGGGCCCTCTGTAAATAAGAAACGGCGCCGGCGAGCGTGGAATAGGACCGCCGCAAGCGGCGTGGCGTGGAGCGGTTGAGCGTCCCTCCGGGGGCCCCTCTGCGCCGGGGAGGCGTTGTTGGCGGCTAGGACGCAAGCGTCCGTCGCCGTTTTCAAACTCGGGGCCCACTCCGCTACGCTCCGACCCGAATTTGGAGGGCCATGAAATTTAAGGTGTTGCTGCGCAAAAGGGGTGGCGCGCGGGCGCGCGCGGCGGCGGGCGTCGAGCGCGGAGCGGCAAACACAATGACGTCGGAAAGCTCTGCATCAAGTACATTGTGAGTCTTGCTGCTTGATTGGCGGCAGGTGTTGGAGGCCGAGTTCGCTTCGCACCGCACGGATCGTGTGTGGCGCGGGCAGGTAGCAGCTATCGATGGCGTCATCTTCAAGATGGTCAACCCCGGCTGCGCTGTGCCCAACCCCGGCGCGTACTTTGTGGCGCGAAAGGACGAGTTTGGCCTGCTCTGCATCGCCACGTGCGACTACCACCGGCGCTTCCTGTCGTACGACATCAGCCAGGCGTCAACTACGCATGACTCAATGGCGCACGCTGCCTCGGAGCTGGGCAAGCTGCTCGCCTCCGGCCGGCTGCACCCCGATTTTTTCATTAATGGCGACTCGGCGTTTACACGGGCGCCACACATGGTTATCCCGGGGGGAGGCGACGCGTACGACTATGTGCAGTCCAGCACACGCATGCCCATCGAGTGTGCCTTTGGCATCCTCGTGCGCCGCTGGGGTGTCCTCTGGCGCCCCCTGTCTGTGCGGTTTGATAGGCGCGCTCCGCTCATCGGCGCGTGCATGCGGCTGCACAATCTGTGCATCGACGAGCGCATCACCGAAGAGACCTGCTTCAAGAACGGCCTCGGCGAGGTCCAGCCAGGCCGCTGGGAGCGCGTGCCCAAGTTCGACCGGGAGGGGCGACCCGTGGAGTACCTCGACACGGCTGCCGCAAATGCACCTCCTCCCGAGCCTCGCATGCGCCGCGCTGTTGCTGCGGACGCGGGGAAACGGCGTCAGGAGGCACTCGCTCAGGCGATCCGCAACGCGGGCATTGCCCGGCCTGCGCTGCAGCACGGTCTGCGCAAGAAGAAGCGCCGCCGGCGCGCAGCCGTTGCAGCCCGCTCGTAGGTTGTGTCCTGTGTGTCGCGAGCCACCAAGAAGCAAGATGCACACCTGCGCGCGTCGGGCGCGGGAGAGAGTGCGATCGGTCGCCCGTCGCTCGAGCCGCACGCGGGAGCGACCAGAATACTCGCCGGATGGCCCATTTAGGGCCGCGAGCCTGCGGCGAGAGGGGCAAAGGTGCGGGAGGTTCCTCGTGAAAGCAAGTTGCGGCTGAACGTGCTCGACTCAATGATGTAGTGCAATGGCTGCGGGCCATAGGCTATCCCGTACTTGGCTGCAATCTCGCTGATGTCCATATTGCGACGTTCAGGATACAACGTCGACGTCTGCATGCTCTCCAGCTCCTTTGCTGCACCATCGTAATTGCTGAAGTGGATCACACCGCGGAAGTGCAGCAGTCGTTGGTGGAGTGGCGGTTTGTGCTGGTCCGCAAACTTGGGAGTAGGGGGCGTGCCAGCGAGGATGAGGCATCGCATGGCCAGCGAGTCGCCACGGTTGAGCACCATGCGAGCCAGCAGCAGCTTCACACGCAGTAGAGTACGCTGTGCAACGCACCAGCCGCGGCGGGGAATCCAATAATCCGATAGTCCGCCTGAGCTCCACCACGCCGGCCATTGTCCGCTCAGCTCTGCCTCGTACGCAGTCCACCAGTTGCGTGCGGCCCTTGGAATGACACAGTGCTCTTGGCACGGCTCCTCCATCCCGGCACCGCATAGCTCACACGGGTCTTCGCCAAACTCCTCTCGCGCCCGCGCGTTTTTGCACGGGTAGCAGTTGACGCCGCCGCCTCTCAAGCGCCACATCTCAGGCGCAAACTCCACGTCCAGGTACTCGGTGGTACCATCGACAATGCAACGCAGTGCATGTAAGAAGCGCACCAGCTCAGTTTTGTACCCAACCCACTGGAATGCATCGGTGTACCACGTCTGCTTCCATTCGCACGGCCGCATTGATTGATAGCACACGCGTTTGACCGGCGGCTGCGCTGACCACTTGTGGTTGTCGTGGTCGGCGTTGCGTGGGTCTAGAAGAGGCAGCTGTAGCCGTTCTGCCTGTGCCTCGGCACTCTCATCGAACCGTGGCTGTGTCGTCAGCGCGGGCATAGCATCGGCCAGTGAGCTCCAGAATCTTGGCGGTTTGTCGGTGAGCCCGGCGCACGTAAAACTTTCTCGTGGCACCCATGGCATCGGGGGCGGCTGCGGTGTGGGATGCAGCGCAGCTGGGTCGGGTAGAGGCTGCTGCTGATCCGGCGATTGAAGCGGGGGAAGTGGTGGGAGAAGCGGCTCGGCCTGTGCGGTGAGGTCAGTGCGCCTGCCCCGTTGCGTCCAGTCACGGACCCATGCGCCCTGCATCACGGCAACTGCTCGCCACTGAGCGTCGTCGAACTCGATCGCCTGCCACGGCCCCGGCAAGATGCATTCACCCCACTCACCAGCTTGGCCCACCTGGTACGGATAGCGCTGCTTCCGGAGCACGATGATCGCCTCAAGGGCGCCGCTGCTGCACCACAGCGCGCAACGGGACAGCAGCTGCTTGTTCTCTCCGCACTCCTTCAGCCGCAGCAGCGCCGCCTCGGTCGCAGGCGTGAGCGTAATCCGGTACGTGGTATGCCGGTCCGGCATATGGTGACCCCAGAGATGTCGCGATGCGCTTTTCCCCGATCATTTCCGTCCGTCCAATCGAAGGAAGCGCTGGATCGCCCATGTTATGGTGTTTACCAAACTTGTTTTGAGGTTGTCGTATTTGGGAGCCACGGTCCTGCTTTTGTTTTCACGGGTTACGAAGCTGAGTACCGCGTCTGCGACGCGGGCGCCTTGCGGGCAGAGCCCTTAGTCCCCCTTTATCTTGCGCGGTCAAAATGGAAGCGAAACTTCCAGACACATGTTTCATGTACATGCACACCCCCTCGGTGCCTGTTAAAGTTTTAGTATGTTTTTAAGGTGATTCACGGGTGTCCGCGGCCCACTGTGCCCGCTGGTAGGAGAGTGACCGCCGCAAACCCTGTGATCAGCTCCATATGATCTCATATTTTTTGTAGGCACCGTAACACCAAAAAAACAAACTACTATGTCTTGCAGTGAAAAGTAATCCGAGCACGCGGCCGCAATGAATTAAAGGGGCGGTTTTCGAGGGGGAATCGGGAGAATCTGGGAATCTGCTCACCACGGACCCCCGCCTCATCGAAAAACTTTTCACTGCAAGACATAGTACTTTTTTAAGGTGCTCTACAAGCTAGGCACAAAAGATATGGCATTGCAGGCCATTTAGGGCCCCTAGACGGTCACTGAGTAGGCCAAAATCCCCACTGGGCCGGGAGCAACCTTAACCACGGTGACACCCTATGCAATAGGTAGGTATAGGTCCGGTTTTGACCGCCCCAGAGGGCCCTACAACAGGTAGGTACCCCCTATTTTCGTCCTTTTTCGCTTCGCTGCGCGGCCTGAGGATAGGTACTCGAGTAGGTAGGTAGGGCGTTTTGGCGCGAGTCATGGTCAACAGACCCCCTATCTGGCTAGGAGCCGGAACCCAGGTTCGTTGTGAAGACTGGGCCACGCCACCCAAGAACCTCGGTGTGCGGATCGGCAAAGGCGCGACGTGTCGAATGACGATCTGTGCTTTTGACCCATCAGTCTCCCAAAACATGTGCGACATTAGTCAAAGAACTCGCTTCACGGCGGTCCGCACGTGAGCACCGCGGCGGCGCGGCGGACGTCCCGCAACGCCTCTCCACACTAATCGGGAGCACACACACGGACTCGGACATGAAGCGCGCACGCGGCCCAATGGCCGTGCACGAGCAGCAGCGCGAGCGCCGCTAACCGCACCGACACTTTTGACCGCGTGCCGCACTTCCCGAACCCCTTCACACCCCACTGTCGCGCAATGTGCCGGCTCGTGTGCGGCTTCTGCCACGCCCACTCGAAAGCGAGCGCATCACTCTTCGAGGAGAAGCCGCGCACAAGTCAACGAGCAGAATGCGCCACGGCCGTCCCGCGGCGGGCGCGCCACCTCCCGAGAGCTCGCCGTTGTGCTGGCGCAGTCGTCGGACGGGGTCGGGGCTCGCGCCGACGTAAGTCCTCCGACCGCTCTCGTCTCGCAGGAAGTAGACGCGCCACGCCGAATCCTACTCCTCCTTCTCCTCCTCCTCAGCTTCGTCGTCGACGAGCGCGTTGCCGTCTTTTGCTTGTCCTCCTCGTCGCTGTCGCCGTCCTCCGCGTCGAGATCCACCTCGGTGACCGTCGCGCCGAGCGTGCGGAGAGTCGGCGAGGGTGCCAGTCGAGGCGGTTTGGGCGGCGATGGGAAGCACCCAGGCTGTCTTGATGATGCTCTTCGGGCCGTCCGGGCCGGGGAAGACTTCCACGTAGTCGACGTTGGGGAACTTGTTCTTGACGTAGTCCTTGACGTCGTACGTGTTCTTGCCCATCGTACCAACGAGGGCGGGAACAGGCCCTTCTCCTTCGTCTCAAACTGCGTCGCCGACATGACGAGCGTGAACTCGAGTGGCTTGATGGCCGGGTTGTCCATGGGCGAGACGTCGAGCTCGGGGTTGAGCCGCTTCGCCGTCGTGCGGAGATCAGGTGAGGCGAGGATGGCGGCGTGCATCATCACCGCCAGTTCCTTGCTCGGCGGACCGCCACATGGACATGCCGAGGTCCTTGAAGTAGCGCGGGTTCTGGTAGACTTGTTGCTCATGAGCTTCTTGAACGCCTCATTGTCGTCATACACCGGGTTGACGATGTACATGGCGCGGCCCGTGAGCTGGCCCACCTTATCGTTCTTCCGGTGGACGGCCAGGTGTGGATCTTTGCCTCGATCGGGTTGCCCTTCTTCTTGCCCATGCCGCCAGTGGCAATGGTTGCGGTCGTGGACGCTGGCAGGTCGCAGAAGCCACGGATGGGGTGAATTCTTCATTATTCATTATTCATTCGCCTCCTTGGTCCTGTTGCTGCGCGAATTCTTTAATTCCCAAGAGGGCGCGGCCTGTTTGCTTTCCGCCAGCCACTTGTGTCGGCCTGGTTGCTGAATGATGGAGGATTCCTTCGACCCAGAAGCGGAGCAGGAGGCCGAGCGGATGTGCCTCGAGGCGGTGATGATGGACGAGTATGAAGAACTCAGCGCCGAGCAGCTCAGCGCCCATCGCACCCGTCGGCGGCTTTCTCTGACCATCCTGCCGTACCCGTCCGCCCACGAGGCCAACCACGTTCAGGCGGTGCTCGAGGCGACGCTCGAGCCCACCTACCCTGTCCTCCTGCCGCTCGTGAGCCTGCGCAACGCTCCCACGGCGTCGCACAAGTTGAGCGAGGCGGTGCTGCAGGAGATGGGGACGCGGCTCGCAGAGGTGTCGAGTGAGCATGCCGGGTCCGTCCACCTGATGGCACTCGTCGAGGCGGCGCGCGAGTTCCTAATCGCGCGCAACGAGCCCGAGCCGCAGCCAGTGTCGGCGCATGAGCAGATGATCCGGCGTCAGAGGCAGGCGTCGCCGCCGATGGAGGACGAGGCGGCCAGCTCGGTGGGCGCCTCGCCGCTGCTGCCTCCCGCCGGCCGCTCCGCCTCGATCGACGTGGTCGACGGCTTCAAGCTGGACGAGCTCGAGGAGGAGCTGCAAATCAACCTGCAGGCGCAGCGCCGCCGCAAAAAGAAGGCGAAGCGGCGAGGCCGCCGCAGCATCGAGCCGGCGACGCCGGGCGGCGAGGAGGAGCAGCGGCGCGAGTCGAGCGAGGAGGAGCCCGCGCACGCGACCCCCCCTCCGACGCGGGGCAGCGCCGAGCCAAAGCTGGCGGCGCGCCGGCCTCCGGCCGCACCCGCCGCCGCCGAGCGGTCACTTGGCATCGCCGACATGGGACGGAAGATGTACCTCTAGCCCTAACCCAACCCTAGCCCCAACCCTAGCCCCAACCCTAGTCCTAACCCTAACCTCGCCCCCTAACCCGAACCCTGACCCTGGCCCTAACCCTAGGTGGGGCTCGGTCAAGGACCTCCTCTCGGGCTCGGGCGGCGGGCGGGGCGGGAGGGGCGCGGGGGATCAATCGGCCGGAGCGCGCGGCGACGGCTCCCCGTCGCGCCTCGGCGTGGCCCGGCGGGGGGCTGCGGGCGTCGAGGAGGGCAGCAGCGAGGAGGGCAGCAGCGAGGAGGAGGGGGAGGAGCCGCCGCTCGTCCGCTCAAAGTCGTCGCGTTTCACCACCGACTTCGAGGTGCTCGAGCGGCTCGGTAAGGGCGGCTTCGGGCAGGTGAGGCGAGTGAGGAACCGGAGGCTGTGAACAGCGTCTCTTCACACCTCTAGCTGTGAATAGGTGTGGCGAGTGAGGAACCGGCTGGACGGGCTCGACTACGCAGTCAAGTCCGTGCGGATCCGGCCGGGGCAGGACGTGTCCAAGCTGCTGCGCGAGGTCAACACCCTCTCGCGCATGCACTCGACGCACATCGTCAGGTACTACAACGCGTGGATAGAGCAGTCGGGGTCGATGGGGCCGCCGCGGCGAGGCGGCAGGGTCTCAAGCGGCGCGGGGGCGGCGGCGAGGGGCGGCAGCGCCTCGTCCATGTCGGAGATGCTGCGCACGCCTTCGTACGACATTTTCCTGCGCTCGGCGGGCGACGGCGGCGAGGACGACTGGTCGGCGGAGGGCGAGGGCGAGGGCGAGGAGACGACGACAACGACCACCGCGCCCGAGACGACCCAGGAGGGGGAGGGCGAGGAGAGCGGGGCGGGCGGCGAGGAGGAGGGGGAGGGGGGCGGCGCGGGGGTGCGGCCGCGGGCGGTGGAGGCGGAGGACTCGAGCGACGACGGCGAGCAGGGCGACGGCTGGCTACGGCGCCACGCGACGATGCGGTCGTCGGCCTGCTCGCGCGGGCCGGAGCCGCCGCTGCCGCTGAGCAGCAGTCACCGGAGCGCGGCGCCGCGCACGCTCTACATCCAGATGGAGTTTTGCAAGCGGACGCTCGACGCGCTCCTCGCGGAGGGGCAGCTCGACGAGCAGATGGTCTGGCGCACGCTGCGGCGGCTGCTCAACGGGCCTCCACCTCATAGTACCCGAAACCATCCCCTACCCCCACGGTACCGAACCCATAGGCAGCTGCTCAACGGTCTCCAGCACGTCCACGCGCAGGGCATCGTGCACCGCGACCTCAAGCCGGCAAACATCTTCCTCGACTTTGGAGACAACTGCGCGCCCTGGGCCCGAGCTCGAGCGCCGCGCCCGCGGCGTCACACCCGCGACACGCACCACGCACCGTAGGCAAGCTGGGCGACTTTGGGCTCGCGACGAGCAGAACGGGCAGGCCGCCCGACGGGCGCGGCTCACCGCGCGACTCGCAGCAGCACTTTGGCGCGGCGTCCGCCGCCGCCGCGAGCGACGAGGCGGCCGACAGGAGCGGCGGCGTCGGCACGTACCTGTACATGGACCCGCACGCGACGGGCGGCTCGGGCCAGTCCTTCGCGCTCGACATCTGGTCGCTCGGCATCATCCTCTTCGAGCTCTGCACCTTCTTTGCCACGCGGATGGAGCGAATCGTCGCCCTCTCCGCGCTGCGCGAGGGCGGCGCGCCCGACGCCGAGTTCGCCGCGCGCTGGCCGCGGCAGGCCGGGCTGATGGCCGAGATGCTCGACCCCGTGGCGGAGCGGCGCCCGTCGGCGCGCGCCCACCTCGGGCGGCGCTTCCTCATCGATGAGGAGTCGTGACCACTCCGCTCAATCAACAGGCGCGCGCCCTTCTCGAGCGGCTCCCCCCCCAGGAGGACGACGAGAACCTCAAGGACGCGCTGCGCGTGCTCTCGCAGCCGCACTCGACGCACTATTCGCTGCTGATGGAGAACTTGTTCGCGCCGGAGCGCGTGCTGCTGCCGCCGCTGCCGCCCGGCGCTGACGAGGGGCTCGTCCCCGGCACCGGCCTCCACCGCGGCCACTGCTCCACGCTGCTGCTCCAGCCGCAGCCCTACCTGCTGCACGCCCAGCGCGCCCACGAGAGCCTCGGCGCCATCTTCCGCCGGCACGGCGCCGTCGAGCTCACCCTGCCTCCCGTCTGGTACAAGCAGTCCCCCGCCGCGGCTGGCTCGCCAGAGTCGTCCGCTCCCTTCGTGATCGACTCGGGCGGCCACCTTCTTGGGCTGCACACCGGCGGGCGGCTCCCTCTCTGCCACTACCTCGCGCTCCACTCGCCCGTCGCAAC